AGGCCTATACAGGTCCATTATCAACGCCTTGAGATGCAAGAACTAAGTGGTGCCTATATACAACTACTTTCACCTTAACAAATGCTGCCTCTGTGAGCTGAACTGGATAGCCAGAGATGGGTAAGAGAGTAACATCCCCACACCACCTAAGACAGGAGGGCCGCCTCTGCTGCAGCCTAATCCTATGACGGGTACCATGTGTGGGATAGATTGGCCCAACCTAAGACAAGCACAGTTCCTGAGAGGTTCTCTTGGCTCAAAAAAATAAAAAAGGGGGACCTGTCCAGAGCCATTAGAGCCTGGCTACCTGCCTGTCCGTAGCCAAAAGAGCCCACCCAGCTATTGCCTTGAGGCCTCAGAGCCTTGTTTGTTGTTATCTTCCGTCCCTCCCCCTCCTGTGCACTATGGGTGTAGGTAACTTTGAAAATTCCCATAGATAATGGGAATTTTCCATTTACTGGAACAACCCACCCTGCGGTTTTCTCAGTAAACCATCTGCTGCTCATTTCCTTATCTGCTGGGTCCCTCCTGCTGTCTATATAAACTGTGACCTTCTGGCTAATAAATGAGACTTGATCAGAATACTGTCTGATCTCCATTTCTCACGTCTCTTGTCCCATCCTATTCCCACTGCCCCCTCCAGGGTATGCGTTGAATATCCCACGGGTTGGGACTGTGATCTGAGAAAATTCATGGATTAATTCCCATTTTTTTGAATTTGCTGATAGTCTATTTGTGACCGAACATGTGGTCTATCCTGGAGAACGTTCCATGTGCTGATGAAAGGAGAGGACCAAATATTCCGAGGTTGTCAGATGGAACGTTCTGTAGATATCAGCCAAGTCATATGGGTCTAAAGTAGCACCTAGATCTCGTGTCAGTCTATTGATTTTTTCACCTAGATGATGATGATCTGTTCCATGTTGGGAGTGGGATGAATAGGACCCCAGAGGTACAGGCAATCAGAGGAAAAACATCCTATCAAAGTAGAAAGCTTCTTCTGCACAGGAAAAGAAACAGGGACCAGGGTGAAACCACAACCAACAGAGTGGGAGAAAATATTTGCAACATACACATCCGACAAAGGATTCCTATCCAGAATATACAAGGAACTCACAGCCAAAAAACAGATGGCCCAAGTAAAAAATGGGCAAAGGAGCAGAACAGGCATCTCTCAAGGGAAGAGATAAAAATGGCCAGCAGACACATGCAAGAAAGGGCACAACATCCACACCCCTCAGGGTTTGGGAAGTGCAAATGTAAACCACTCCAAGATAACATCTCACTCCAGTTCGCAAGGCTAATATCCAGAAAACCGAGAACGATCAATGCCGGCAAGGAGGCAGAGAAACAAGAATTCTCGTAGACCATCGGAAAACGTCACGGAGTTTCCTCAAACGATTTCTTTCTTTCTTTCTTTCTTTCTTTTTTTCCCCCTTTTTGTCTTTTTTTCGTGACTGGCAACGGGATCGCAACCCTCAGTGTTGCACCCACACCGCGCTCAGCCAGTGAGCGGACCGGTCTCTATATGGGATCCGAATCCTCAGCAGGAGCGCCGCCACACTCCCAAGTGCCGCACTCTCCCAAGTGCGCTTCCGGGCCGGCCCCTCAAACGATTTCTGATAGGCCTACCATACGACCCGGCTATTCCACTGCCGTGAATATAGCCGGGGAATGGAAATCATCAGGTTGAAGGGTTACCTGTGCTCCCATGTTTATCGCAGGACCATTTACAGTAGAAAGAGTCAGGCACAGAAAGAGAAGCACCACACGTCTTCACTCACTTATCTGTGACAGCTAAAAACAACCAACCAACCAAAGTAATAAACAGTGGGGGGGGGACGTGAAACAATCACAACAATTCCTTGAACTCTTTAAGACAAGCCAACAGATAGGACATAGATGGGGGAGGGGTAGAGGGAGGGAGGGAGGGGGGAAGCGGAACCGGTAAAGGGACACAGAAAACAACTACACCATATATCTATAGATCGAATTTTTTTTTTTTTGTCCTTTTTGAGACCGGCCGCACCGCGCTCAGCCAGTGAGTGCTGTGAGTGCACCAGTCATCCCTATATAGGCTCCCAGCGCCACACCCTCCTGAGTGCACCACAGGCTCGGCCCTATAGATAGAATTTTTAAAAAATTAAAATAAGTAAAATGAAAAGCAGGGTGGGTGGATGAGTCGAAAGCCTTCCCCCCAACTCTCACTTTGATGAATCCAACCAAACAGATGTCACCGACACCCTGCTCAGTAGTCGTTTTTCGGGGACGAGGGCGACTATGGGTACAAAATGAGCCTCCACGCACAGGGGCTGTTTGGGGGCTGTTTCCACCCCTCCTGGTGTGTGGGTCGAGTCCATCTCTGCGTCCGTGAAATCCGCCCATCCATCCTCACACGACGTTTATCTTGTGTCATCTCAATCGACACCCTCACCGTGGTAGGGCGGCCCCCCCGAATCCAATACCACCCGCCTGATCGACACAGGTACCAGACGCACGTGTTTGCTTTTTCGTTTTATGGACATCTGTCAGGTTTATTTGACGTCTGTACACGTCCCATCTGAGGGAAACCGCCCTCCATTCCCACCCAAAAAGAAACACGCACCAAGCCAAGGTGTACACAGGGGGGGAGGGGCCCCCGGCGACCGTCAGCCCCAAGCAGGAGAGGGCCGGACCAGAGCGTCCAGGGGGCCGGGGCACTCCAGCGAGCGTGCATCGGTTCGGTCCCAGTGGTGCAGTGGCCACCCCTTCCTTGGAAGCAGGGACGCGCAGTCAGCCTCACCCTCTCTGGCGGACGATGGTCAGGGTGACGATGATGGCAAAGTGCCCTGGGGAAGAAAGATCAGAGGAGAGGAAGTATTCAGATTCAGGGTTTCAGACAGAGGGTACAACGTGGGTCCGGGGCCTTCGGGTACCCGGCAGAATGGGAGAAACCGTGAGAGCCCTGATAGGGCACCCCCCCACACTTCCCTAACATACACAATTCGCTTCCGTGAAACCAGTCGCCGTGTGACACGGTAGATAGATGAAGTTCAAATCGCTTAGAAGATGGTGTCGTTTGAAAATCCCCCTCGGCTCTTCAGTGCCTCCCCGGCCCCCAGAAGGAAGTTAAAAGGTAAATATCAGCCCGCCCTCAGAGAAGTTTGAATTTTGTTTGATATCCCCCACCCCTCCGAGCTGCCCCCGAGCAATCGACTGGCTCATTCCAGTTTCCATCAGCAGGTCGCGCTAGGCCTCCCCAAACCCCCTCCTCATGCCAGGAGGGCACACGCGTATGCGTGTGACTATCCGATAATGATAAGCATGTGACTACTTGATACTTTTAAACGTGTGAGCAATGTGAAAGCGTACCTTTGAACAAGACCCCTAAACTTCGGGTCAGGGCTGTTGTCTTCCGAAACTTTCTTGGAGGGACAGTCGCCAACACGCTTACAAATTCTCAACTCGGGCATTTCGGTTCTCATTCTGTGCAGCAGCCTCACAGCAGAGCCAAGCGACATCATGACCTGAACAAAACTAGGAAAGGGAGGAGTCTGAGTGAGCATTGTGCCGTTCGAGAAAATGTTTTCAAGGAAGCAGTGTCACCCCATTTCAGGCACGTCCATCAAATGTCGATCCACAACATGTGATGGGCAAGCAAAGTAAGCCGTACAGCCAGAGCGACGAGAAAAGAAAAAAAGGCCGGCCCATGGCTCACTCGGGAGAGTGCGGTGCTGATAACACCAAGGCCCCGGGTTCGGATCCCATATTGGGATGGCCAGTTCACTCATTGGGTGAGCGTGGTGCTGACAACATCGAGCCAAGGGTTAAGATCCCCTTACTGGTCATCTTTTTTTTTTTCTTTTTTTTTTTGTCTTTTGTCTTTTTCCGTGTCCGGCAATGGATCGCAACCCTCAGTGTTGCCCCCGTACCGGACCAGGGACCGGCAACGGGATCGCAACCCTCAGCATTGCTCCCGCACCTCACTCAGCCAGTGAGCGGGAACCAGTTCGTATGTGGGATCCGAACCCTCGGGCAGGAGCGCCGCCGCGCTACCCAAGCGGTGCACTATCCAGTGCGCCACCGGGCCGGCCCTTTTTAAAAAAAAAAAAAAAAATTTTTTTTTAAAAAAGAAAAGAAAGAAAGGGCCGAGCCCGTGGCACACTCGCGAGAGTGCGGCGCTGGGAGCGCAGCAGCGCTCCGGCCAAGGGTTCGGATCCCATGTAGGGATGACCCGTTCGGTCACAGCGCTCACTGGCTGAGTGCGGTGCGGCCGGACTCAAAAAGGACAAAAAAAAAAAAAAAGAGGAAAAGAAAAGAAAAGAAAAAGAACAGCAATAGTAGCAGCGGCAAGAGCAGCAGCAACAGCAGTGACAACAACAACAAAGAACCAACCAAAGAAAGAAGCAGAAAATGGCGAGCCCTCCGTGGGCCCCCAGGGATCCCGGCTCCACGCCTCAGGGTCCCTCCCGGAGGGTTCAGGCAGCAGCGCTCCACCCCACTCCACCCCACTCCACGCTTTGGCTCCCCTCCGGCACCCCTCCAATCCGTCCAGCTGGTCGACCTCCATCTCGGAGAGAAGAGGAGGGGGAGCGGTGCGCAGGTGCGAAATGAGGGGACCCCCACACGGACGGGACGATGAGACCAACGGCCACACGCCAGGCCGCCAGCACCAACACCTGTGCCGGGGGACAACCCCCCCATAAGCCCCCCAGGCAGGATGGGAAAGAGGAGGTGGGAAGTCGGAAGGGGCGCACGCTCCCCTCCCCCCCTTGGTCCACCCCGACTCCCGCGAAAAACCCACGTGGGACGAGACCCGCCAGCCGCCACGGTGCGGCACCGGGACGGTGGGGCACGGGGGCGGGATGTCG